CTGAAAAAAATATTCGCACTGCACCGATTGCTTACGTGTAAGTGTGTGTGCAAGGGAGAGGTAGGAATGAATAAGAATGAAGAAAGATCGTGCGCAGCCCGAGTCCCTTTTGTTAGAGTATTAATTTTGCATTCACCTGCTATTCAGAGAAGAAACCACAGAAAACTACCGAAGAGAGCAAGAATACAGTTAAATTCGATCGATTTAATGTCGAAAATTACCATCGTAATACGAACGAAGATCGTTTTAAGACGCTCTGAACCATTTCAAGCGACGAAATTTTGTGCTAGAAAATTTGAAAAAGCTCTTATGAGTCACTTTTAAATGTTATAATTAATTTTTATTTAACATATTCTAACGAAAACTCCACGCCTAGGGATTAACAAATAGCCTCTTGAGGACCTCACAGAAATCATGCTCTTGCGAGCTTGTAATACCTCAAGGCTGTGGGAACTTTTGGGTGTTGAGAGCAAATCCAAAAACAACAACACGAAGATCAATTAAAGTGGTTTTAATATTTAAAACCCTGTAATTGCTTAGAAAAATATCACACCAAAATCAAATGAAACATAACAGAACAAAACAATTGGTACCCTTTATCAATGAAGCATGGTTCATTAAACTCTTTGTGCTAATTATCCTCGGGAATTTCCTTTGCTTCGCTTATTAATTAACTTTACTACAATTACTATTTATATTAACCAACGTCTCAGTGCACAATTTATCAATCAATCCAAATAACTTGAGTACAAAAATGCGCGTAGATGCGTAACACTCCCTATAACAATTTCTCTATTCCCGCGAGCAACATAAATTAATATTGACCTATTTACAATTCTGTACGCAAAATGCATTTAAAGTAGCTAGAATCTCTTAATTATAAGTAGATGCGTTCTGAATACCTTCGCAAATTTCCCTTTTAACAAGTTCTCCCTGGTAGCGGGACGTTGCCCTAGTTTCAGCGCTCTGGCGCCATTTCCTCCCGCAGCCGCAGTCTGCGACCGCCCCACAGCTCGTTGACGTGCCCGCGCGCGCTGCCTTCGGCCTCCGCGCATCCGATCGTGGCCCCTGGTCGCCGGTGGCCTCTTGCGTCGTCTTCCGCGTAGTTTTCCGCTCTTGTTCTCCCGGCGCCTTTCGTCCTCACCTGCTTCGTCCCATTCGACGTTTCGTTTATGCCCGTGTTTCGGCGAATGTTTCTTGCACAGCAATGTAGAAATCGTACGCATTTAGGGCGTACGCGTAGCACGCAATCGCACTGTCCCAAATTTCGCCTCTGGCTGAAATTTACTTCATGTCAGCACGAACTCTTTCCCTCCTGTACCGTCCTCAGCTCCTCAATGAAATGATAGATTCTACCTCTCATATTAACTCCTCGTGTCTTGTTTGAATAAAACTTTCCTACATTAAATTCTAACAAAAGTACGAGAGCGGCTATTTAGGCGTCTGTCCGACGTCCAATACTCCTACCTACTGACTCGCCGAAGTTATTGCTGGATCGGCGGTCAAAAACTTTAAGGTTGCGCTGGCTCGGCGATTGGGAACAAAAGAGAGTGAATGATCGGCGGCTCGCCCTTTTATGCATGCGCCCTCCGTGTAGAGGTAGTGCGCGACTGATACCTGCTCATTTACCTGCCCGGCGGCGCGGACATAGCGCGCAACAGTGTCGCAGGTTACAGGCGCGCTCTTTTGAAATCGCTCCGCGCTCGCTCACCCGGTCTACTACAGATGTGTTCTTGATGTGTGGGAAGAAGTTAGGCACTCGTGTTCGTCACAATATATATACACATATACACACACACGTTACATTATATATCGACATTACAATATATATATATATATATATATATATATATATATATATATATATATATTGTAATGCCGATCGCTCGGTCGGGATACGTCGGGCGCCAGGTTCAGTTCCTGTAACGAATGGATGGAAGTGAAGGGAGGTCATAAATCAGTCCATTGAATCGTTTCTAACAAAATTAAATTTATTGCTGGCACCATGAGCTGCCAGAAAAGTTACAGGTCACTAGAGAGCGACACAGATTACTTGCTAACCTTACGTTACGTGCTCATAACCTTAACAGTTAATGAACAAATTTCCTAACGCTAACATTAATAACTTATTTCTAACAATTCATGCATATTTTAACTACAATACACGTCTGAGCGCGGCCTCTCTTAGTCTCTCGCCAAAATGTCCTGCGAGGGAGCCCCGCGTCATAACTATGGGAGATAGTTCGACTCCGGTTAATTACCGGATTATTCACCACTGGCTGGCGGTGGCTCCGTCGGCCAGATGGCGGTCCTCATTCGAAGACGGCGGGCGGTCTCAGGTCACCGACCTCCCACTGGGTGTTCCTCCTCAGCTGGCAGTGTAGCGTGGCGACGGAGTCGTCAAATCGTGCGGGCTCATTCAGTTGAGGACACACGGGTGCTGGCCGTGGTTTAGTACGGGCTTGAATGGGCCCGATATGGCACTAGGCGGCGGATGCAGATCAACTCATGCGAAAGTTACGCGAGATCTTGCCATCTCCCGCCCAAGTTTCCTCCGCGGTAATTCTAAGGTGAAGAATGTTCTCTCAGTAGTGACTAGTATAAAAAGTGTTAGAGAGAATTAAAGTGCTTATTGGAGTAGTTCTGCTTTATAATGAATATTTCCGATAGTTCCGCTTCTTGGACGAATTCGTGATAAGTGGAATATTTTGAGTGTTCTGAATTACAAGTGCTTAGTTCGAGCGTCTCACTTTAAAATGTGTCTTATTCGAGAATCTGCTTGGCGGAAGGTTCTATTGCGTAGAGTTTCTCGTGCACATTCTTCCAAGTCGATCGCGCGTTTCCCAAGCTCAAGTTTCTCTGCCAATCTTCGCGTTTCAAATATTTACCTCCGTTTCCCCTCCCAAACGTTGGCCGAACCTGCAGATCTGCCCCTTCCCTCTACGGATGAGACGTTCCATAAGTTACTAAACTAAATTGCGTTTTAATTTTGAAGTTCTCCAATCGGATTGCACCGTTTACGAATTTTTTCCAGGAGAGATCTCTCTTACTACCTCGACCTCTACTTCTCCTCACCTGTCTTGTGAGCGATTCCAGGAAGCTCTCTCGATGATGTCGAACAACTTGTTCTGTGCGCGTTGCTGTTTTTTTTTTCTGGGTCTCATAAATTTTGTCAGCGGAGCCTGTCGGCAGCCAGGCGACTGTTGAGTTGTAAATAACCCCTTTGGGAATTTGGATTCCTTACGCGGGCGCGTGGCAAAAGGGTGCGCGGGCGCATGGCAAAAGGGTGCGCGGGCGCGTATTGTTTGTCTTGAGTGCCCTGTGGTTCCGCGAAGGGTGGCAGCGCGAGGTGTATATGACAGGTCATAAATGTGTCCGCTACTAAGAGGAACCCTCATCAGCTGGCGGCGGGCGGCTGTCAATGCGCGTCCGCGGCCTGGCGGTCGTTAGGGTTCTTCGCAAGAAAAGCTCCGTCCCGCAACCTACTTAACTGTGGTGGGAGCTATTTTGATATGAAATTATTATAATATTATTTGGTGACGCCACAATATGTGTGTGTATGTGTGTGTGTGTAGACCCGATCTGTCTCATTACTAATTAAGTCATCTAAAATTGGCGTCCAAATACAAGTTGCGCCGCGAACCGCGGACGGTGGAACGGTCTTCGGTGCCTCTCAAGCCCGGGAGAGGCGAGACGGCCGCTACATGAGGCAGTAGAGGCGCAGACGCCGGAGAGAACGGACGTGCTGACACGGATAGAAGCGACGTAAATGTGTGACACCGAGCGCAGAACAACATTGAAGCATTGCCAACATCCTTACGTATTTATGCAATGTTATAGTGGGGCATCATCCCGTCGGAGGTAAGGGAGGTGGTGACAATTTTGCAGTCATTTTCTTTTCATGATTGAATAATCCATGTTGAAAGCCAAAATCAAAAATTCATAATATTGACTCAAATAAGGGCAAATTAGTGAATGACTTGGGTTAATGCAGAGATTCAAATTTATTGAAACTGAGAGTTAAGGAACAGATACAATTGGTTAATCAAACTTAGGCAATGATAGTAATTTAAATGGACAATATTGTATACTTAAAGGTATTAGATATGCGATCGCAAAGGTAGAGAATCGAGATGGAGGTAATTGCAAATGATTGAAAGTGTTCACTAAATACAATTATGTCATGTATTATTAATAATAAATGTTTCTTATTATTGATGTTTTTTAAAGATGTTTTTGGGTGCAATACATGCGATCAATGAGATTATTACCCCTAAACAGATTCACTGTCCCACATTAATTATCAACAATTTTATCTAATCATAAAATTAATGTGTGCTTATCAGTTGCTCTACATGATTATAAATCCACATCAAAAG